CCGGTGCTTTGTAGCCGCTGGTTTCTGTGCCAAATAGCCGACCCAACTGAAAGGTGTTTAACAAGAATTAAATCAATGATGGCAAATTCCAAAAATATTCCATAAAAATCAAGGTAAACTTGCCTTGCCACTGGGATCTCTATACTTCGGCGACTTTGTCATACTTTTCTGCCATTCTGCTTCTTTTCTGCTCAGCAAAACTTGACGATTTTTGTCCAAGATCAAGTGAGTGACATCTGTCAAATCTACCACGTCATTTGCTAAAATATCTTGCACACAAGTTATAAAAATTATCAATGAGAATCGTTCAGTAAAAATTTCAGGTCGCTAACTTGAGCCTTTTATTTCCAAAGGCAGGGCCTCAATCGCTCGAGGTGGTACCGTTCTCGGCTTCTTGGATTTGAAAGCCTTGTACAGCCGTTTTCTCCAGTCTCTGATGCTGTCAAGAACTTTGATGGAAACGATCGGCCCCTCTGATCTGTAAAAAATATTTTCGATGTTAAGTCGAAAATTGAAAACTGAAATTTGGGAGAAAAACAGATTCATTAGCATTTTTCTCTAGTATGTAAATTTGAGAAAGGAAGGAAGCGGTCTGGAATAATTTTACTTTCTATACGAATAACTCATCAGAAATGAAACAAGATGTATATATCTATGGGTATAGGATCTTCCCCTAGCAGCCCTAACGACGCACTTACTGGTTACTAGCAATTACTTGATATTTTGAGAATCTGCAAAGAAATTGACTCTATAAAAATTGGGAAAGTGGACAACACCATGTCCTTTTTCCCGAGAATTTGTTTTGAGCTTGCAAAATCCGTTTCTGGGAGCGCTTAATCCAGATTTTACTTCATCTTTGTATTAGGTTGGAAAGAAAAGAATGTCGCTTTTTGCGAGTTTTTTTCCGCTAGAATAAATAATTTTAGAGAACCAAGGCACATACAAGGCCAGAATTTTATGGTCAAAGTTAGAAAGGTTAACAGTGTACAATGACATATATGGGAGCAGCCCAGGACCACTGGGGGC